GAGCGGCGGCCGTTGTCCGGCGCCGGCTGCCCGCGCGTGGCTGCAGGGGCCGCTCACCTGGGCAGGCCTGAGGTCTGCACGCCCGAGGGGTTTGCAGGCGGAACGGCTCCCTGTCTGCAACTTTGACCCCAGAAAGCTGCCTAGACTCAAGCAGGGTTGGTTTGCGGCTGGGTGAAGTGCTGCTAAACTGTGAACGTGGGTGCTGCCGTTGGCCACGTGTGCACACCCGGAGCTGGGTGGCTACTGCCGATGCTGTCGGTGGTGCTTGCAAGTGGTCGTTGCTCGCCACCCTGCTGGCCACCAACACCACCGGGAGCGTCTGCAGGCGGTCACCAGTCGCCACTGGCCTCCACCAACGTCTGCAGTTAGTCGCTGGTCAACACTCACCACCCACCCCCTTTGCTGCTGACACCGCCGCCACCACCACGCCCCTACCCCCACCGCTGCCTGTGGGCAGTCGCTGTGCCCCCACCAGCCTTGGGAGGCACACAACATTCATGGGTGCTGTAGCAAAGTGGGGCAACCGCCCCAGACCGACCAGCGCTGCCCAGCCAGGGCAGGGTGCAAGATGAAGCCGCGAGCGGCTCGGTTGCAGGGGACAGGTGAGGGCGGCCCCCACCGCTGCATGCTCTCCAGCACGAGTATGGGGGGGTGCCCCCTGGATCTGTGTGCAGGGTGAGACCCGGCTGCCACTGTGGCCTTTCTTTGCCTTGGGTGCCAAACTTTGTTGGTATGGCCTTTTTGTTCTATAGAAAGGACAGGGATTGCATGTGAACTAGGTAGAATTGTGGATTAAGAGGATGTTGTCAAGGTAGTTAAGATTTTATACCAAGATGACTCAAGAGCTGTCTCATTTTTATAGAGCTTACCTCAAAGGCACTGCCCACAGTGCGAGTACATTGAACTCTAAGCTGGTTCTTCCTGCAAGCCTTCAGGAGGTCACCGCTTAACACAAGTTTGTACTTTCTGGCTTCTTGCATCCCATGTACCAGCTCTTTCCTTGTACTGTAACATTAAGTACAGCGTCATCTTTTTAGTGGTCAGAAGCAAGCACGTTCAGTTTTAAGGATGAATACAAACTACTAAGGATAAATATTTGAAAATGGGACTGATCTCACTGTTGTTTGTATTACAGAAGGGCCTGGAGATGTCAGTCGGGAATGTACTGAGAGACGAGGACAAAAAGGTTATCCATGCCCCAAAGAGTTTATCCCAGGGTGGGCAGTTATTTTGGGCAGAGGGCCACTTACTGAGTTTTGGCAAGCCATCGAGGGCTGCATGACAGGCAGCCCAGGGCAAATAAATATTAATTTTCTAAATTTTTTAGGGGCCCCGTGGGCCGGATAGAATGGCCTGGCAGGCCGTACCCAGCCCCCAGGCCGCATTTTGCCCACCCCTGGTTTATCCACTATAGGCCTTCTGTCGTTATTAAACCACCAAGTGTCAAGGACACTAGGGGAGCTCTCTCTATAACAACAATTTTGATGTATTCCTTGAAATAATTTCCACTCCAAAGGAAAATTGTCTGTAAGAACTCCTAAATTCCATCTTTGGCTTCAGTAATGACTTCTGTACCCTCTGCTAACTTCCCTGCTAGTTTCCCCATTTGTAAGACCCAAATCACAAGGACATGAAAGGTAAAAATAACTCGGAGTTACTCACTGCAGCAGTAACTTATTGCGCATGACTGAGGGAGCAAAAGAACATGAACGTGTTCTAGGTTGTTCGGGGCAGCCAAAAACCTGTAGGCATCTCCTACACGTGAAATGAAACATTAATTATTCTGCATTATTCTTGATAAAAAGTCTTCCAACTGCTTTGGAAGGAAGGAACAGAATTTTCAACCTAGTGTTGGAGCCTCCCGTAGAAAGGGTGTTGGCGTACTGTTTAAATACACAATTATGTGTGATAGAGAACCTTCTCTGGACCAGGAACATGAAGAATGAATGCTCTGGTCAAAGGCATAAACTGATGAAAGAAAAGCAACTAAAATGATGGTATGTAAATACTGAGTGAAATATATGCAGATGTGAGATCCACTTATTTGTTGCTTTACCAGTTTGTTTAATATCTCCTTTTAGGTGAGACCAGCATCATTGCTAGGCATAAATCCTAGGGAAAGCCCTTACAGAGCAGATTAGAGGCCTTAGATCTTAATCTTGGTATTGAGTTAATTAGAAGCCCATTAGAATGAGAAAGCATGATTGTAAGGAGACATATAATAAAAACAACCACAATTGCCCCCCTTTGAAATCTTAGCAGCAGTAGCAAAACCTCCACTTTTTATTGGTATGAACAAAAGAAGACCTTTGAAATAACCAGTTAATTTTATTACTAGAACTTCAGATTGATTAAGGGCTCATTGTACACAGTATCAAGAGAAAATATATTACCGACTTTTTATTAAAACCAAGATGATTTCAGCAAAAAAAATTGAAAGTGAAAAATGCCATTCCCAAAAGAGACTATATTTTCAACCTACAAATTATTTCTGTGTGCATACACAAAGATACCAGTCAGACTTCAAATGAACCCTGTAGTCAGTAGAGTGATCTCAATTATCTAAATATTAGTGTAATGCAGGAGGGTCATTCATTAGTAACACGTGACCTACTTTGGAAAGCATTAAAACATTTAAAAAATAAAGCCCTGAGCCCAAGAGCTAATAGCAGGGTTACGTTACTGATTTCCCACTAACTTCAGTGAGATCTAGCTCAGACTCATGTTACCATTTGTCTTCTGACTCCTGCTGCCAAATCAGAAGATACGGTTCTTGGTCTGTGAAATGTATGATCTAAGTTACATAGCCCATGTGCACCAATCTCTTACTAGACAGGGTGGCCTAATGGATAGTGTGCTGGACTGACATTTAGGAGAGCTGATTCTATACCTGGTTCTTCCCCTGTCCTGGTAGAAGACGCTTGTACATCTTGGTAAATTAGTACTGTCCTGGTAGAAGGCACTGGGTATATCCCTTTTGATGCTCAGTACCCCACTTCTTCACTCACACTTTTCTGTTAAAGTGCTTTGAGACTTGGAGAAAAGGCCGAGTAAGAGCTAGGTATTATAACTGACAAAATACTAAGCCAAATTTATCTTTCCTGTTAGCCACCTTTCTTCTGTTCCTTTCACTAATTTATTACTTTCTTGATATCCATTGTAAATAGACATATCATATGTCAACAGAAGGAATCATCAGCTAGATGCAATAAACTGCTTAAGTGGGATATTTCCTATGAGCAGCTGAGATTTGTATCTGGTGTAGGGCTGCTTGTTTTTCCTATCTTGGTGTAGTGTGTGACATGTGTATTTCTAGGATAACTATTATAATGGATTAAATTTAGGCCCTACTAATACATGCAAAATACTGGGATGCAAAGGATAGTTTATGTAAATATATTCTCATCTAAAAACAGACAGAGGGATCCTTTCTAATTGTAATAAGTCAACTAGAAAATTCTTAGGAGCTCCTGTGGAACAGAAGGCCCTGCCAGTGCCTCACAGTAAAAACAATAACTGCCAAGGTTTGAACAGGGACCCTCAAAGAAAAAAATAGGAGATGAAGGAATCTCTTTTAGCATGCTGATTCAGCATAGCATAAGCATCCACATAAATTCACCTTCATTAATCAAACTGTTTAAAAGCATGCTTCACTTTAAGTGTTTCCTTACACTATCAAAAGTTAAACATACACTTAAGTGCTTTGCTCAACCAAGGCCTAAATAAGCGATAATTTTACTTTATCCTTTACATCACTAGTCTAGGTCTGCCTATGGATACTACAGTTTACTTTCCTTGTCTATAAAATATAGTCATGTCTTCTTTTGCAGAAACTGTTTAAAACAAACTATTTTTAAATGCAGACAATAAGAAAGTAAAGCTGTTAGAGATGCTGTAAAACTGCATGATACTGGTACATTGCTCCAAATTCATCCCTAATAGAACTGTTAACATCGGTGGAGTGAGACTGAGTGCATCTCAACTATCGTACACGTTTATACACAAAAGTACTAAAATAAAAAGTTTAATGATGAATAGTTTAATAAAAACTTCACTGATGGAAAGATAGATGATCTGAAAAATCAAGATGAGTGTTTAATCTTTTATTTATGGGCCATAATGTCTCATGTCAAATGCAAAAAAAAAAAAAAGAGGCCAGAGCTTAAAAAAAAATCATCATACTGTGTATTCTAAATGTAAAGCTTTTAAAAGTTATTTGGTTAGAGAGATGCTGTCCACTTAAAAATAATTGGAGAAGGGCCCAACCCAATGTGATAGAATTGAAACACCCTTCAAAGTATAGAGTAAAAGAAGTGCAGTTTTCCCCATTGTACAGAAAGGGGGCCAAGGCACAGAGAAGTTCACTGATTTGCCCAAGGTCACACAGGACATCTGTACAAACTCTGGGCCTGAACTCAAGCTAGTACCTTCACAAGACCATTCTGCTTCTGTATTATGTTTTTATCTGCTCCCTTGTCTTGCCACTTCCTGTCCATTTTCCTTCCATTCTATTC